TAATTTGTTTATAGGTGCATTGGTTCTCAAATGTTAGAAACTCTCTTTAGTGTATTTTTGTTTTAGCTTCTCTTTAAACCTCTGTCATTTCCTTCTCATTTTTTCCCATCTTGCTCCCAAAGGCATTAGTAACAAACCCTCTTTGAGAAAAAACGTGGCTGGGAAGAAAAGTACTTTTGATGATTAAGGTCCTTGTGTTCAAATGGTTCCTGCCTACACTATGGAATCCATAGATACTGGAGATATAAAGGAGAGGGTTAGAAGATAACTAAGACCCCTCAGGCTTGATATGTAATCAAAGAAGTATTGTTTGGGAATGACTTAAGGGGAAGCAGAGTGGCTAACATTTGGCCCTGGTCCAGCTACCGCTGCAGCTGATGGCAGAGTTCCCGCTGACTCCAGGAGAAGCAAGAGCAGACCTTTTGTGAGGCAAGGACAAGCCTGCAAAAACACAATGCAAATGATGACAACCATGCAAATTGGGAAAGACAACAGGCTACAGATTCCTTATGTAGAGAATGTCTTTGCCTGGGTAAGACGGATTGACTGGAGGGCCATGCTCCATTCCTGGGTCCAGCCTAGCCAGCTAGCACGGCTTGGTAGAGGCAGAATCCCACTGTGCACGTAACTGCAATTCCAAGGGTAGGGCTTTGCATCTTGACAGGTGATGCTGTAAGGGAGCTAACTAACAACATAAGCACAGTTGCACTGGGTAGAAGAGCAGACCTAGCCAGCTGTTTGCTGTATCTGTTTGCTGTAGGAGGTGAAAGAAGAGCAGAAAACAGGGACTAAAAAGCACAGCACATCCCTTGGTACAACCACCCCAGCTTCCCTGAGCCATCAATTTAGTAGCTATTTGGGCATTATCTGCATTTCAGAACACTGTGTTTAAAGACCATTAGGAGACCGGCAGTATTAGTCTGATCTCCAGCTTTTTACAAATTTGGAAGGCAGGTCTCTGGGGAACAGGAAGCTAACCTCACTGGGTAACTTAGAGGGAGCCATGTAGACTCAGAGGCACAAGACCTGCTGTTATGTTGGTGTTAACAGGACTACAGGCTAGCAGATATACTATAGAGCATCTCTCTCAGACCAGCCCCTGAAAAAGGTGCTCTCCAGCTCTTTTCTGCTGTGCCATGAGCCACTGAAAGCGCTTCTCCATATCCAATATCTCCATTCTCCAATATCCAACTAGTTTCCAGGACACTGCAGTTCTGGACTGCAGAGCCACTGCTGGGCTTCAGGTTTTGATTTGGGTTGGGCACCCCTCAGAGAAGCACTTCTCCCACTGAGCAGCAACAACAGTGGTTGGTGCTCCTGAAAAGAGAAGAGCAAAGGCTTTGTATAGGTACCTTCATTCTGATTAGGAGCCAGCACAGGGGGAATCCACAGGTAGAAAAGTACACTTCCAGGAAAGCCTGTGAAGGAAAATAAATATGCAGGATTCAGAAATCAGGGTAAAAAGGACAAAATAAAAGAGATTTGACAACTATGTTGGGACCTGCAAACAGGGCCACATCTGTTCTGGCAGTATCCCAAGTAGCAATCAGATCTGACATTCACAGAAGAAGCTTTCCCCATGCAAAGATTGGAGAGGTGTTCGATGGAAAAGCTGCAGTGTAAAGTATAGCTGCGTTTTCCCTCACTTTATGATCATATGGTTTACATTTATTGGGTGGAATTGAATAGCTACAGACTTGCCATTCACAGAGGAAAGAGATCATCTTACTTACAGTAAAAGTCTTGGGGCTTCTTTTCTTGAACGCATGGGAAGGGTGTGTTGGCCTTGACCAGTGAAACCTTGCGCAGTGCTCAGCAGGAACTGCAAGGTGGTTTTGCTTCAGTGCAAGTGTGAATGAAGGGCATGTGTGGACATAAATAACATTCAGCTGTTGGGGCGTTCTTCTCTGAGCAGAGGCAGCCCTGGTATTCTGACATCCCCTCTGTGCCTTACACAACATAAGATCAGAAACAGGAAGGAGTAGGTGTGTGTGGAAGGAATGCATCTGAGGATTCATTTGTCTACAGGAGAGCCTTGGCATGAAAGTAAGGCTTTTGCCATCTGCCTACTTCATGTCCTCATTGCTAGGAGATGTCAGCTTGGTGTGTACTTGATCCTTATGTGGGCAGGCTCAGGTGCCTCTGTAGATCTTGCCTCAATCATTCCTGCTCTCCTTGCCCCATGTCCCATGGCAAGTTTTGAATTTTCTCTTTAAACATCAGCTGCTTGGTTTGGGCTGCTACTTTCCATTCCTTTGGCAGAATAAATCTCTATCCCCTGTAGCTGCAGGAGAGTTTGAAAACATTAATCCCAAATGTCCCAAGGCTAAACAGACAACAAAAAGAATTCAAAATATAAAATTTCTTATGGATTTTTAAAGGCTTTTCCATGATTTCTGATTACTTAGGGCTGTAACAATTTGCAGGCAATTCTCCTCACCAGCATTAAGCAAAATATAGCTCCAGTGTTATTTACTTGATCGCAGAGATTTTGGAGGAACATGTAATTGAGTGAAGAATGCCACTTAGCAATCAGCTGCATTTTTCTAACATAAAATGGAAAGCTTAAAAAACTCAGTATCCTTTGTGTCTCAGCTAGAAGTCCTTTCTCTAAGCTGATTTCTCTTTGTGCTAAATAATCCAGTCATTTTTGGTTTTAGACCTGAGCACTTTTTGTCAATATTGCTTTGCTTCTGAGGTGTAGGGATTTGTGACTGAAAAGAGAGCTAAAGGATCTACTACATCAATCAACACTGTAGAGAAGGGTGAACATGGCTTTTGTAGCATTAACCATGTCCTATCTGTTCTCTGCAATGAGAGTAAAGAAGGAGCCAGCAATCAATTCTGGTGATATTCTACTGCTCTGCTATAAGGCTTTTACATGAACAGAAATGGGTCAGTATGGAAAACTCCCTTACAGATTACTAACTGGTTAAAAATTGAAATGAAAAACAAGGAAAAAGCCACAAGCAGGGTACCAGAAATAGCCACAGACATTTCATGTGAGTGTGCCTCAATTTCTCCAGACATGCTGAAGTGTGATATTACTGATTACCTTTGCCACTTCTCTCCCACCTGGTCCATGAAGGAAAGGCTTATAGAGTATGTATTCGATTACTGTCCCAGAGGTGAAGGAAACAGGAGTGGGGAAGATAATATTAGGAAATTACACCAGTGATCTCGGATTTCTTTGGCTGTATTTTGACAGCTGAATTAACTTGAGTTATCAGTGTCCAAGTGAACAGCACAGCTTGCTCAGAAATGGCCATCCTGCAAAACTACATTGGAACTGCAGGAATGGGGTAGGTGATCAGCAGTGTGATTGCAGAGCAGCATGGAGATTTAGCTGGAAAAAAAAATATTTTGCCTCTTCGTTAAAACTTGAGGTGAATCACACAAATCAAGAGCAGCATCACTTCTGACAATATTTTTCTTTATGTTTGAGAGTCTAGGTAGAGGTGACATTTTAAAGTTAGCTCTATATGAAAATAAAATGCTTTGATTCTTGGTTGCTGCCATACTTCTACACTTCAGGTCACATCACTGCCATTCTCTTTACACAGGATTAAGAATCTGACTTTTTTAACCAACTGTGAAAACTTTACCCACCATTATGTGTGCCCACAGATATATTAGTTCTTAAAAGAAAAATTATTCTTAGCACTTTACTGAAAAATGTTTTTGAAAAGCCTATTTCACCCCTCTTCTGAAATGTGTCCAAGCAGCTCTGGGAGAAACAGCTTCTGGGACTTAATACTTTACCTCAGATTCTTTCTTCTGAAGAACCAAGCTCAGTGCTGCTTTTGGAAACAAAAATCTCATTCCACATTCTTTGTTTATATGCGTCTCATTTCACCATTGAAAGAGAAAAGCAAGTTGTATCTGGCAGATGAAGTGATACTGGAGAATTAGCAGCAGACATGAGAGCAACGTGATAATTGCTTTCTTCAGCCCAAGCCCGTCCAGCACCTAACTGCAATGGAAATAGAAGCTCCTCATGTTTTAAAGCACTGTGGAGTCCACAGGAGCATGTGTTTGACACAGCAATGGAAATGGAAAACCATGAACTCATGAACTTTGAGGAAGTTCAGATTGTTATTACTGTTATGCAGTTACTTAAAAAAAAGTATTATCTTCATTCTGTTAAAGCCTTGAATTTTCCAAATGAGACCTCCCTTTCAGGAGGGAATCTTTATCTCTGTGTTCTCCAGCCCTGGCAAAGCTGCTTGTTTCTAATGTCTAGAGAAAGACTTTTTTTCTGGGGAGAAGTCCCAACTGTAGACAGCCTAATTTGTTCTTGGAACATCTGAGAGTTTGGATTGCTGTGGGGGTCAGAATTGTAATAATTCATGAGAATATGTGCTGAGCTGGGCTCAATTAGTCAGTCTTCTTTCTTTCCCGGTTGCCTTTTGGGAGGGACAGAGCAGAGTCTGGCCAAAGTTCGTTGTGACACAGTACCTAGCAATGGCACTGCAACAAGCAGGTGGTAACAGTGCAGTGCTTCCCCTGCTTTCTGTGTGGATGCAATACAGCGTGGTAGGATAAGCCTTTCCACTGGACTGCTGGTTGATACAAGCAGAACTTGTGATGCAGTTGCATGTATTTAAAGTGCTTTCTTCCATTCTTTGCTAGATATGCAGACAGTGAGCAATTCAAATGCACGGTTAGATCTTCATGGCCCTTTGTTCTATCAGAGATCACTGCTCTGCCAGAGCTTCTTTTTTTCCAGCAGCATATGTAGCAGAAGGCAGCTAAGAGATGAATCCTTTTTATTGAGGGAAAGCCTGGCTGTTATCTCTATTTGAAATACACTTTAGTATGCATTCAACCCAAGGAACAGCTGAGCCCTATGGTAGAAGGCTTTGAGCACAGTGCTGGTGTGTTCTCAGGTGGCTGCCGTTGATTTGTTGTGATATCTTAATTACTACCTGCTGGTTTACCCCAACTCTACAAAAAGTAGTAATAAGCTCAGGTGAGAGCTAAAAGTGTTGATTCAAGCTTCAGGGATCTGGGGGAGCTCAAAGCTGCTCCTGGATGCTCAGGGTGCTTTTATTTACGAGCCACAAATTGTTTTAAAAGTACTTAACAACTCATCAGTATCAAAGTGTGTTTTGATCAGATGCAATAAGATTTTTGCACATCTAATCTCATACCTACATTTGAGTATCCTAATTGCTTCTAGTTGTTAAAGTGCAGATAAGCAAGAGATGCTGAAGAATATTTGAAACAACAAGGAATTTCTGTTGTCTTTGTTCCCAGAAGCAGCTCTGCCATTCCAGGAGCATTCCCTTTTTGTGGAGAAATTGGGCAGTGAGTATTCTTTCAATGGAATAATGGGAAACTGAAGGACTTTGGCACATTTCTGTGCAAACAGCAATCTTTAGCTAGAGCTGTCAGTGACAGTTCTAGCCATAAAGAAAAGCCACATCTAACGCAAGTAAAGGTTTGTCACATGGTAAAACTTTGTAACATCTGCACTCTGGTATCATTAAAAGCACATAGCTCTGACTTGCACTAGGACCTGACATAGAAAGCAGGGCTCTGGAGTGGCTCCGGCACACAAAGCGTCATTAGGATTAAGGTATGTCTTTCCTACTTCTTTCTGCCTTGTGGGTTGAGTTCTTACTGTGGTGTTTTTAGTAAGCAGTCTGTAATCAGGGAAGCATTAAAACAAATTCTGGTTCATTGTTTGTTGTTATTAAACTAAACATGGGGTAAGTTCATGTAATTCTAGTGTTCTTTCTTTGCTGTTATCAATGGTGCAACCATTACAATCTCAAGCCATTCATATATACATTTATTAATATTCAGAAATACCAGCTTTTATAACATTAGGTGAAGCCTCTGTTCAGTCATAGTTAGGTTTCTCTGTATAAGCAATTATTAGAATAGTAAGAAAACAAACTCAGGAGTTATGATATTAAACGTGTTTGGTATCTATATGTATACACATACACTGCACAAGCAGAAATTTTGTGTCACAGTGTTCTAGCTGGTACTGACCACATGCGACTGAAGGATTTAGACTTTTATAAGCATTTATTTATTCAGCTTGCTGACGATTGTTTCTGCCTAATGAGATGCTTTAGACCAGCAGTTGGTGAGACCTAAATAGTCTGCACCAAGGCAAAAATTACCTACTGCATCAGTTCAAGCTCAGGATAAACCCTGAAGTATATCTCAGGAGCAGAAACAAGAGAATGGAGGTTAGAGAGCTGGAATTTAACAAAGAAATGACAGTCATTCAAAGTGACAGTTGAAGGTGTAATATATATACTTAGTCTTGTCATAGTAATAAACACTAGCTAGTTGCAGTCAGGAATAATAGTGAATTTAGAATATGTGACTCATCAGTAAAGTACACATATAGAGCATTTATGTTGTAGACCATATTAGACTTTCAATCTCTTTGGAATGTCTTCCACATTACGGTTCATTTTGTTTCTTTATTGAGAACTTTGCACATGTGCACTGATAGGAAAGCAACAGGAAGCAAAAGAATTCCACAAAGTGGAAATAACTGCAAAGGAAATTCGGAAAGAGCTTTAGCAAGAAAACAGTCAAGTGGAAAAAATACATTTTATTTAGTGAGCAGCAGAACTACTGAGTCTGGTTTTTTTTTGTAGATTTGTGTCTGAACTCTGCTGAGTTCTTCCACTTCATTATACCAGCTGTTCTTCACCTGCCAGCAGGGTCTCACACCCACATCTCTTCCCCATGCCTGCCATCCCTGGATCCTCCTTGCTCTCAGCACTTTGGAGTTCAAATGCAGTAAAACTATGGGTGCTATTCTTGTATTATTAGTGGTGTTTGTATTCAATTTGAAGCTGTGAGTTCAGATCTGGCACAGTGCAGCCTGGTGAACAATAGCTAATGCATCAAAAAGCAGACATAACAAAACACAGCAAAAGCAGCAAAGCTTGGTTCAAAATTCCTGCGTATTTTCATTTCCCATTTATTTGGCATCTTGCCTTGTCAGACACAGTACAATCTTCTCCGATTGTTTCTGGTTAGTGCAACGTATCTCTGTCTTAAATCCTCTCCCTGAATTCAAGTTACACTGCCTGCAGAACGCATGCAAGGGAGAGCTCATCAATTGTGCACTCTCTTGGGGTGGTGACCTCTGTCAACAAGCTGTTTATGGCTCCCAGGATGGAGCCAAATGGATACCAGTTCTTCCTCTGCTGCAAGGAGCTGTTGACATGATTACAGCTGATTAAAAAAAAAAAAAAAACTTTCCATCTTATATGAGTGTAAAAGTGAATCATTGCTGTATATAGGGACCCTTCAGGTCAACATCTTTGAAGGCAGTCCTGGGGCCAGGGCAGCCACCTCCTGGGAACGTGCTTGAAGTATACACCCCAGCCAGAGCTGCTGAGGGATATTCTGCAGTAGAGGCAGATGGGCTACAGCATGATTTCTGTATTTTAACATAAAATGCAATAGAAAGAATATATGCAGCATTTTTTTCACGAAGTAAGGAGGGGAATGGACCAAGCAGGGAAAGGCTGGGGAGCTTATCCTTCTGCTTTTCTGAGGAGGATGTCTTTCCCAAGACAGCAGAGGTCACTGTGCTCATTATGAAAGAAGCAGTGAGATTGTGAGGCACGATGGCCGTTTCCATTCTCGGTTAATGGCATCAGTGCCCATCTTTCTCCAGAATGAAATTACTTTTTCAGATTAGCTTTTCTGTAGTAAAAAAACCAGCACCTTCTTGCTAACAATAAATATAAATTCTGTGTTTGAGAAGAAACTTTTGACTTCTCATCACCATTAACCTAAGAGGGATTTGAGATTCAAGAGCCCTCAATTAATCTGAAAGTGCAATAATGAACCATCTTTGGACAGGTTTGGGTCTACTCACCTGAATACCAGGCAGATTTTTAATGATAGTTGCCAATTGCAAGACAAGCCCAGGAAAATATACTACTGTGCAAATTTCTCAGGAGAGGAGCCCAGCTGTGAACACAGCAAATTTGGAGGTGCAAGGAGTGTTGGTGCCCATGCGGGCACAGTGGCACAACAGTGAAGAGAGAAGAGGCTGGCAAGCAAGCAGAGAACGTGATAAGCTTGGTTTTTCAGTCAAGCATTTTCTGTTTAATCCTTGGGATTGTCAGTGCTGTATTAGCTACTTTGTGTATATTAAGGTTCTGTCCTCCTCAATGTAAAATCAAATCTAGGTTTATTTTGACAGCTAACATTAAAATTTAATGTTTTCTAAGTTTATGGGAAGAAATATCGGGCTGACATTTGCTTGCTTGTCCAACTGCTAATTTTCTTCCTAGCAGCAGCAGGCTGAACACTGGGCAGGAGAGGGCAGCAGCGGAGTGTCTGAGCTTCCAGCTGTGAGGCAGAACATTTCACAGAATCACAGCATTAGAGAGGTTGGAATGAACCTTTGGAGATCATCCAGTTCAACCACTTGCTAAGGCAGGTTCCCTACAGTAGATTGCATAAGAAAGTGTCCAGGTAGTTTTTGAATGTCTCCAGAGAAGGGAATCCACAACCTCTCTGAGCAGCTTGTTCCAGTGCTCTGTCACCCGCGAAGTAAAAAAGTTTTTTCTCATGTTCAGATGGAACTTTCCATGTTCTCCTTTGTGCCCATTGCCTTTTGTCCTGTCACAGGACACCACCAAAAAGAGCCTGGCCCCATCCACTTTTCTCCTTCACTTTAGGTATTTATAAGTATTGATAAGATAAAGGCTGAACAGCCCCAAATCACTCAGCCTGTCCTCCAGGTCCCTATTCATCTTTGTAGCCCTCCAATGGACTGTTTCCAGAAATTTCCCATCTGCCTTGAACTGGGGAGCCCGGAACTGAACACAGTACTCCAGATGTGACCCCACTGGGGCAGAATAGAGGGGTAGGATCACCTTCTTCAACTTGCAGGCCAGGCCACTTTCTTTTTAATGCATCCCAGGATACCATTGGCCTTCTTGCCCACAAGGGCACGCTTCTCGCTCGTAGTCAACTCAGCAAGACACCCACGTCTTTCTCTGCAGAATTCCTTTCCAGCCAGTCAACCCCTAACCTGCATGTGGTTATTCCTCCTCACATTTAGGACTACACTTGCACTTGTTGAGCCTCGTCAGCTTCCTCTCTGCCCAACTCTCCAGCCTATGGAGGTCTCACTGAATGGAAGCACAGCCTTCTGGTGTGTCAGCCACTCTTCCCAGCTTTGTATTATCAGCAAACTTGCTGAGGATGCACTCTATCCCTTCATCCAGGTCACTAATGAAGATGTTAAAGAAGACTGGACCCAGCATCAACCCCAGGGGTGCATCAGTAGCTACAGGTCTCCAAGTAGACTGCATCGCTGATCACAACTTTCTGAGCTCTGCCAGTCAGCCAGTTCTCAGTCCACCACACTGTCCCCTCATCTGTCGCACACTTCCTAAGCTTGCTTATGAGGGTGTTATGGGACACAGTGTCACAAACCTTGCTGAAGTCAAGGTACACAACTTCCACTGCTTTCCCTCACCTACCCAGCCAGTCGTGATATCTCAGAAGGCTATCAGATTGGTCAAGCATGATTTCCCCTCAGTGAGTTCATGTTGACTACTCCTCATAACCTTCTTATCTTTCACTTGATTGGAGCTGACATTTCAGCAGGAACAGAAGCACTTAGGAAGTACATTTCATCTTTGTTGATGACAGGGTGAAGCTCTTAGAACACCATTTGTTTTTTCCAAATAAATGTTTTTGTTTCATAGACACACTGCAAATGAAATTCAAAACTGTTTAGTGGCTAGAGCTCAATAATTCTCTTATTGATATTAACATTTTGGTTTTATTTATTGTAATAAAGAGAGAGACGTTTACTGTTGGTACTGTGAAAAGCGAGGTAGCAACTTGTTTTGCCTGAGGGTAGTCTGGAATGTCAAACCCATGAATTTAGGTATTTTCCTGAGCTACAGTATGTTCAGTCTCCTGTAGGTTTGCATCCCTACTTCTAGCTGTTTGTGTTGGAATTTGTGGTGTGGCTGAGCAGAGGGAATGCACCAAGGCATAGTTTAATTCGGAGGCAATTAAAGCATTCAACATGAAATGAGGAGAGCCTGCCTTGCCCTCTGACACAAGACAGCAACTGAGCCCTTTAATGCAGTCCTTTCCTAGAACAGTGGTGTTGAAACGGCTTGGTAATCAGTGAGCAGATGAATGGATGCCCTGTGATTCTGTTCACTCTGCTATCCTAATCATCTCTGCCTGCTCCTGGAAGAGTTCCTTGCTGAATTTACCTTTCTCAGCCACCCAACAAAACTAGTTCTTGCAGGTTGATTTGGGTGCTTGCTGGCAGAGGAAGAAGGTGATTCTCAAAACAGGACAAAATCCCTCCTTTTTCTCTACAAAATTAATAGAAACACTGCTTAAACAGGCACAATGCTAGTTCACCAGTGGCAATGGAAATTAGGCAGTCTGGACTAGAGTAAGAAAAGTTAGCCACTGAGCCAAAGTATCCGTACTGCAGCCTTTTCTTTGTCTTCTGAGATCAACTTGAGTGATTCAGTCTTCCTAGAAGTCGCTGAGTCACTTGCATTATTGAGTACAGCCCAGAAAGATTCAATTAGTTCCTTACTAACCTTGTTTCAAGAGCCTGTAGAAGAAGACTAGATTGTTATTTATGGTAACACATCTTTTATGGGGCACTGTCAGCAGATGCTATCCAAGCATTTGCCAGTACAAACTTGGAACTTCTGCTCCTTAAACTCCTCTAACATCCATGTTGCAACCACTGATGTAAAAGTGAGCATGGGGTCTGAGCTTAGCTTTTCATGCCTCTATTCAGTTGTACTCTGGGTTCAACTGAACTCCAGTTTTGAACCCTCAAAGTCACAGATATAGAGAAAGACTGTGCTGAGCATGCAGACACTGGCAGCTGTGTTTGTTTTGCAACTATGAGTATGGTCAACTGATGAAGGTCTTTTGTGCTCACATTGCTGAATGAAATTTCCCCGTGCAGTAAGTGCGTGGAGAGAAACAGGAGGCAAAGATTCAAAGAGCAGCTCAATTAAAAAGAAAAAAATAGCATAAAAAAATAGCATGTTTAATGACTGACCTTAATGACATACTTGAGTAAAAATCTGCTTTGCTTTAAGCATGCTTAAGGAAAAAGCATGGTTTAGACTTATTCAGAGGCTTTTATAAAATTTCATTCTTTCTTTTCCCTTCCCATCCTCTTAGTATCTCTTCCCTTTCTTGTCCTAACAGTTCTGAAATATTTACTTCCACCCCATTATCTTTTATGGTACTTAGCAGCATAGTCATTTGTTATTTTTAGAGCTGTCCAAACAGCGGAAGGTTTTATTGCAATTTTGCATGCTGCCTACTAATGTCACTTTAATTTTTTTGAAGCACATACGTTTGTGTGTATATCACGGATTCTCTACTTGAGTGAAGTAATGTTCTGCTTCCCTTCTGTTTATTCTCCAAACACAGCTGAGGCTGAAGTTCTGTTCTCTGGAGTTCTATTCTGGCCTTGTCATCTGAGTTAGTTGTTGGGGGATAGTTTTGGTATCATTTGTTGGAAGGAAGTCATTTTGTGCACTCCAAGCTTTCTCTGTAGTGCAAAACAAGGCACAGTCAGTGTGAACAGGGGAAGGATTCCCTTCAAAACTCTTAATCCAAACTAAACTCTAGCATTGGTACGTGTGATGGGACTTAAACGTCTCCAAGATAAAGTTGCTTTTGAATGTGAATTAGAATTAGAATTCTACAGGCATTTTTTGTCAGAATGCACAGTAATTGGCTTTAAGTGTAGTTGTGCACAGGTAACTGAAGCGGCAATAATAACAAGCCTATGTTCTATCTTGGGTGTTTGTGTTTGATTTTTTTTTGAGCAGGCTTAAGATCTGTGAGATGTTCTTAGTCTTGGAGCTTGAAAAGCATAATAAGTTTTTTTAGAATAGAGTTGGTTTTACATCAAGTTCTATTTCTAAAATGATAGAGATGGTAGGTTCAGATGTATTAGAAATTAGAAATATTGTGTTTCTATGTTTGTATGTAAGTACATGCCGAAAGCTGTGTTATTTTCTAAATCATTCAGATTTAAATGCTCTTCTCGGATTTATAGGCATAAAGAAATATGCTTGTATAATCCTCTTTTCAGCCTGCATAGACTTATTGCTAGATGTATTGCATCTGAGTGAGGAAAAGGAGCTCTTTTGCAGTGATGCAACACATTTTCCAAATTAAGTAAATTCTTAAAAGCAAAAGTAAGCATATACTGACACTCTACCAACTAACAGATAATGCACTCATTGTGTTTTGCAAGGCGTTCTCACCAGCTTTCTGTAAGGTATCTCTTCTAGCACAAAATTCTCTGTAGTACCAAACACACTTTGTTTTTGGGGGGTTTTTTTTTGTTTGTTTGTTTTTTTTTTAGTTAGCCTCCCATTTGCAAACCTCTTTGTAAGTAGCGAATAGAAGTCAATGGGACTCCTTTTATTATCTGCAGGAAGATGACTGGATAGACAGCTACATTTAAAAAACCTACCTCTCTTTTGGAAACATTCTTGTTTTCCCTAAGGCCATGCATTGAACTTCAGAGGCCAGAAAGCAGCCTTAAG